AAACTGCCATTGCACCATCACTTATATATGACTAGCAGTAGCACCCAAAAAAATTAATCGTATCCCCAATGCTAGATTTCACTTCATCATAACGCATAAACAACACCATGACCTAATTACTCACGGTAGCCAGAGTGAAACCCAAACATCACCCACCAAACACACTTCACATAGCCATGTTGCTAGGCCACACACACCATAAGCTACTTGTCAAGAGAATTTGTAAGCTAGTAATTAAGGATGGTGTTTAACTCGTTGCACATGTTGACGTCAGTGTAGGAGAAGCAAGTAGTGGTGGCAGCGACAAGTAGAAATTTTCCTAAAACTTTCGTAAGAGATTTGTTATTTACAAGAAAAAAGTGCAGAAGGTGTAGCTAGGACATGTTCACAACTTGGCATTGGTTGATTTCCTAAATGTTAATAGGAAGGGATGGAGCATAGGAGAAGGGAAAGGATATAGGACATCACTACTAGGAAAATATCATTTTCTTACGAATTTTCTTAAAAAAAATATTTGCAGAAATTTCTTGCAAATTTTCTTGCAATAATAATTTCACAAAATTTTTTTACGAATTTATTTGTAAAAAATAATTTGTAGATATTTTATACAAATTTTTTTATGAAAAATAATCTACAAGAAATTTTTGCAAATTTTGCTACAATTTTAATGATCATAGAATTTTTTTTTCCATGGTAAAAATTTGCAGAAAATATTGTACGAATTTTATTTTGTTTCGTATAGATTCTTACAAAAATAAATTCGCAAGTAATGTTTACTAAATGATAGAAAAATTTCGCAGGTAACTTTTCATGCGGATTTTCCTTCCAATTTTAATATGTAAGAAAAATAAAAAAATATTTAAATTTATAAGTTTAATATTTTAAAAAAACTTCAAGTCCCACATCGATTGAAAATAAAACAATTAAAGAGTATATAAGTTGGGGCAACACTTATTGTCCAAGTTGATTTGTATGGTTGAGTGTTAGACTTATAATTTCTGTAGAATTTTTTGCAAAAAAAATCGCAAGAAACTTTCTTGCGAATTTTTTTCGTAAGAAAATTTCTTGCAAATTTTAAAATTCGCAAAAACATATTATCTACGAAAGTATTACTTGAAGATAAAATTTTGCAGAAAAATTCGCAGGAATAATATTTGCTGCGAATTTTAATACAAAATTCACATAAAAAGTCACATATAGTAAGAGAAATTCTAGTAGTGGATGAAAAAAAGGGAGTATAGTGAGAATGAGATGAATGTACGAGGGAATGTTTTAATATTTAAGTCTTTATTTCATTTTTAAAATTTAATTGAACACTTAAATATATTTTTCCTCTATGTAAATTTTTTTTTTCTTCTGTTTTTAATCCATGTAAATTATTTTGTTTTTGTTTTTGTTTGTAGTACTTGTAAATATGTTTCCTTTTTTGCTTTTAGTTCTAGTAAATTATTTTATTTGTCTATAGTCGTTGTAATGTTTTTTTTTTGGTAAATTGTGCTTTTAATTTTCTTATGATATTTAATTTATAATTTTTGTTTCTTAATCTTTAATTATTTAATTTTAATCTCTCAATTTTATAAAATTTATAATTTTAATTTTATTAATAAATTTTATTTATTAACTATTAAAATTATGATGTTGATTATGAATTTATATATAGAGTAAATGACTAGATAATTAATATTTAATAATATTTAGATTAAATTATATATTAAATTTTTATTTTTATCCTAATTTTATTATTCTTTTATGAGATAAAAATAAAAATTAAAAGTATATTTTAGTTTAAATATCATTAAACATTAATTATTATGTCATTTAGATCATTTTTAATGCTATTACTTCAAGAGATAATGAACAACCATTTAGTATTGAGATAAAAATTGTAAAGTTTATAGAATTAGAGTAAATTTATAAAATTACAAGTCAGAGAAACAAAATCGCAGATTAAATATTATAGGGATAAAAAGTGAAATTTAACTTTTATTTTAATATTTAATTTAAGAAAAAAGTTAGAAGTGAAATCACAGTATAATATTTTTTGATAATGTGACAATTAATGAGATGAATTTTTTTAATAATGTGGCATTTTTATGACAAAACACTAGACATGGCAATAGGCAGAACAAAGGTGAGTTTTGCTTTTAATTCCCATATTTGTCCTCGTAAAAGGCCAGCGAGTTCTGATTTAGATAAACTCATAGGGAAATCTTAGTGCTTTTTTTTATAATTTTAATTTAGTTCAAAAATTTTAAATAAATTATATTTTAAGTTATTAATTATATATAATTCAAATAATATATAAAAGTAATAAAATAAAGAGAGTGGAAATAAGTGAAATTATTTGATTAAAAAGAAATAAAAGAGTAAAAAATTAAAAGTAGTGGGTCTCATCTTTTTATTTCTTTCTCTCCTTTTATATATATATATATATATATATATATATATTATTTCTTATATATTTTTCTTTAATTAAACAACTAAATTTCTACTCTATTTTTTTTTACTTATTTTTATTCATTTTTTTATTTTCCTTCACTCTATTTTTCATATATTATTTTTCTTTATCAGAAACACTAAAATTGAGTTGAGATCAAGCGAGTATTCACATTTGTATGTTAAATTGCCATGCTTATGTGACACTTGGTGATGTTATCATTTATACTACAAGAAATATCTATAACTTATATTATATTTTTGTGTGGATAAAAATATTTTTTAGTGACACGTATTGTGTCTGTTGGGATTCAAGCAAAGTTCCACGTCGTTCAAATAAGAGGATGGACATAAGGTTTATATATACACAGTTTGTCTCCATTGGTTGAGAGGCTTTTTGAGTGGTATCCAAAAGCAAAACTGTGAGGGCTTGGGCCCAAAGTGGACAATATCTTACTAACATGGAGACATGTGTATATGTGTAGTAATCTCCAATGTTCAACAGTGTCTTTATAAAATATCTATCATATATATGATAATTTGTTTTTATAGTATTATTATAAGTGACACTTGATAACAAGAATATTAATGGCAGCTAGTTAGCGAAATCAAAATCAGTATTTTTGTGATGGATATTGATGACAAGCACAAGAAAAGTCAATGTTATTGAAAAATTCAGGGACCACAAATAAACAAACAAAATTGTAGGGTACATAGGCTAAAAGCTTATTTAAGATGAATTGATTTGCAAATAATGTTTATATAAGACTAAAATAGGAAAATTATTCTTGTGTATATATAAACCAAAATGAAAAGATGATGTTAAACAAAAATTAATTTTTTTATATAAGTTAACATTTGCATTACCTACCCATTGACTAGAGTTGCAACAAGATCACATAAATAGAAAGATAAAAAAAAATAGTCCAAAAAAATAATATTTTTTTCTCAATCAGGCATGCACGACCTCATAAGGATTCCCTCGTTTCTTTGTGATCAATCAAGTTCAACAATGGTAGCTAGATAGTCCTATTGCAACTAGTCCTAGTCACGACATTCTCTACTCTTTCTCCGCGTTCCAGCTATGTCTGATTTTGTTCCCAACAATACTCTTCGTACATCCTACCATGTAAACATCAAATAATCATCGGTTTTCATTGCTTTGAATAGTTCTGATTACCAAACTCATATGCAGCGTTTTGATTACTGTTTATTCAAGTGGCTAATTTTTTTATTTTTATTTTTTTTATATCTACGTGGTTGATACGAAGTATGATGGAAATTTTTTATATGATTGATCCTCATAAAAAAAATCTAATTAATCATATTTAATGAAGTCTCCATTTTTAATTACTTTTTATAAACAAGACTTGAATTCTAGAACTTGTGAAGAAATATAAGTAATACTTTTTTAGTTTTTAGGAAGATAAAAAAATAGTCTTTCAAATATGACCTTTATTATTATCAGTTTTTATTTATGATGAATGTATAAAGAATTTAAAAACCAAATAAAGAAAAGACGGACATTATGTTGATTGGATTCATATCACGTCTTTTTATTCTGTTCCAATTGTCTCACCAATAAAAAAATTGATACATTATTTAAAATTTTCATCTATATTTTTATCTCTTTTTACATTGGTCATTTTTTTTTATCTCTAGTTTAGGGAAAAAAAGGAAAGTTAATAATCACACTTAAAATGATTACATTATTTTAGCTTGAAATCTCGTAAAAAAAATGTTCATTCTTTTTGTATACAACTTACCAAACATATTTTTTTTATAAGACTCCAAACTTCAATCGATCTATTTTTTTTCTCACTCAAATTAGGTTGTGTCCTAGTTATTTTCTATCTTTTAATATCTAATTACAAATATAGCAACTACTTACTCCACGATCATGGTAGGTTGTATGTACTTATGAACAAAAACTCCTCCACACAAATCAATAAAGTGGCTAATCAAAATTTTATCAAGACATAAAAAATACGAAACAGTGTATTTTTACATGAACAATTGATAAGAATACTAATTTTTTTCTTGTTAATTAATTTGATCTATCTAAACTATTATTGTAATATTATTAGAAAGATCAACAATAATTTGAAATTAAGTCAAAGAAATTATCATGAATTCGATGTATTTTAGATAAAACAAAATCTTCCTAATCTAAGATAAAACTAACGAAAAATAGATTAATGTAAAAAAATGATAAAAATTAATACAGATAAATATTTTAATGTGTCAATTTTCTATTGGTAAAATATTAATTGAGACATAATGATGAGATGGATGATTTGACTCCATGTTAGTTTTTATATTTATATTTGACTAAACAAAGATGAAAATTAGGAAAGATAAGTATTTTTGTCAAACTCAGTTATGATAGCTGGCGTTAATTCATTTGACCCTCTTTTCTGAAAAATAATTTAAGAAAATCAAATCCTAGAGAGGTCAATACTCGGGAGCCAGTTAAATTTTTCAAATATTTCGAGCAGAATGTCACATTGCTACGACTATATATAGAGACATCACGAACCAGGAGATAAAGCATTCAAGTTTTCAATCAATCCATAGAACACCAAATTGAGGTAGAAGTTATTCATGGGTGTTAACATGGCAAAATTTGAAAAGTTGTTGGTAGCTTTGTTCCTCTTTGCTGTTGCACCTTGCATAGTCTTTGTGGATGCCACCTTTTCCAAAAGCATGTACATCACTTGGGGTTCTCAACATGCATCAATGCAGGGTGAAGACCTCCAACTTGTGTTGGATCAAACCTCAGGTGAAAAATCCATGTTTAATTTGCATCCAATTTAGATTATCTCAAAAGATGTTTGTCTTAGGCAATAGTAAACATTTGCATTTTGCTTATCAAAAAAAAAAAAAACATTTGCATTTATGATCAAGAAAATAATATAAAGTTCAAAGGCTCAAAGCATGTTGCAGCTTATTTTTCATGCGTTGGAAACTTGGAATTGAATATTATTCTTAGAAAGGAATGGAAATAATGATCTAATAATCCAATTAATACAAGTGCATGTATTCATTTAGTAGTTATAGGCAAAATTTGTAACCAATATAAATAATATGTTGATTGATTGCATTAAAGAAAATGTAAAGGATTCCTCCATATTCTCACATTAACTAGAAATATTTGGCTTTGCATTGGAATTTCAGGATCCGCAACTCAGACAAAGAAAGCATTCTTATTTGGAAGTATTGAATCACGAATCAAGCTGATACCTGGTAATTCTGCGGGAGTAGTTACTGCTTATTATGTAAGTTCATTGGAGCTAATAATTAAACTTTTTTTTTTTTTTCTGTAATAAGAACGCGCAGAAGAATTTCATATCAACTAACATCATCAAAATTAGCACAAGTGGTTGAATATTTAAGTTCCTTAATCAAGGGACTCAATTCAATCCTTGACTTGTGTATAATGTTGTGATTAAAAATATCACTTTATCTTTATAAAAGTCTATTTGATGAGAAGAAATTATACTTATTTATTAAACCAAAGAGATATTGTGTTAGAGAGAATATATAGATTTTACAAAAGTACTAATGCTTCATAACGAAATGTGTGCAGCTATCCTCTACAGGAAGCCAACATGATGAGATAGATTTTGAGTTCTTGGGCAACATTTCAGGACAACCATACATTGTCCATACAAACATATATACACAAGGAAATGGAAGCAGGGAGCAACAATTTTACCTCTGGTTTGACCCAACTACTGATTTTCACAATTACACCATTCACTGGAACCCTACTGAAGTTGTGTAAGTTGATAAAATATTAAACTCTACAAGCACAAAGTGAATTCCTCATTCACTTTTCTTTGTTCCATCCATAACAAATAATCAGTTAACAGTTATACTTGTTATGAACACACTCCTTGTCATTAATTGAAATTTGTTAGAAATCATAAAATTTGATAAATCTCACTTCTTATTTAATGAATCTATCATAATTTTATAATTTTTTATTAAATTTTAACTAATAGTAAAGAATATGACAAGAGTGTGTTCCATCATACTTATACCTTTTGATTGTACATGATCTAATTATTGATTTGTTACCATAGGTGGTATATTGATAGTATACCAATTAGGGTGTTCCGAAACTATGAAAATGAGGGCATTGCATACCCAAACAAGCAAGGAATGAGGGTTTATACCAGCCTGTGGAATGCAGATGATTGGGCCACTAGAGGTGGGCTTGTAAAGACCAATTGGAGTGGTGCACCATTCATAGCCAAATTGAATCATTTTAGACCAAGGGCTTGCAAGTGGAATGGAGCAGTGAGCATCAACCAGTGTGCCTTAAATATCCCTTCCAATTGGTGGACTTCTCCCACATACAAGCAATTGAGTTATGCCCAGTTTGGCCAGTTGAATTGGGTCAGAAACAATTACTTGATCTATGATTATTGCAGAGATACCAAAAGATTCAATGGACACATGCCCCCTGAATGTTTCAAATCACAATTCTAAACATGAAGAAAGCTGAAACGTGTTTTTTTTCTTTTCATTTATTGCTTTTGTCTCATTTGTTTGTGTTCCAATCTCTGTGATTTCATTCTTGTTAACCAATTGAGTTGAATAATATATACTGGTTTTGTGTATTGTAATTCTGTTTCATCATCATTACATGCTCATGAGTTCTTAGTCATACGGTAATACCAATATATGAGAATACAAGGGTGAGAGTAAGATAATAAATGACAAAAGTTTGGATGACAATTTTATTTTTGGTATTATTTTTACCAGACTATGTCAGTAGTCCTAACCTATATTTAGCAAAACTCATATGAGTTCACTGATAATAAATATCGTGTCTCTTCAAAACTGATTTAATGTCCTGTATATTATGCATTAACTCGAATGAGAGCAATCTTCCTTGTTTTAATATGTCTAAAGGGCCTCATATTACTTAAGAATCAAATAATTGATCATTTATAATCACCATGCATATTTACACACCTTAATCCTCATGACAATAAAGAGTTCCCTGAATCAAAGCCTAGGATTCTACTTCCATAGTCTTCACAAAGGACCAGAATACATTCAAGCCCCTACTTGAAACACTTATGTTTGGTTCCACATCCTAAATGTGTTTTTTCATATTCATTAAAAAGATATTAGTTATAGTTTTCCACCAAAAAAGTGATTCTAATGAGTTTTCAAACAGGCCATTAAATTGTAACATTTGAATGAAATGAAATTTAATAGGATTTGTAAATCCTCAAAACACATTAAAGAATATAATTCAAATGTAGTAAATCACGTATACGATAAAAAAAAAAAAAAAAAAGTTCTTATAAGCCAAATACACAATCTAACCAAGCTTCCATGACATGACTAAAATGAAAGAGAGGAATCCGAAGGAAAACTAGAACAGTAGACAGATAAAGTTGCATACTATTTGCAACAAATAATTCTTGCACTGAATTCTATAACCAAGGACGGAGCCAAGGGGGGACCTACGGGTGCCACGGCCCCCCCAACAATTTTAATTTTTTTTTATATACATATATATTACTATATGGCACCCCCTATTTTTAATATAAACTCATATGTATAATTAAATGAATAACCCAAATTTATTTTTTTATTCAATTTTTGGACTTCTGGTACGGCCTGCTATGTGGTATCACTTTGGAATTTTTTTTTTTTTAAAAAAATGTAGCGCCTCATTTGATCATTCCAATTCTCGGCCCCCCAGTATTGAAATCCTGGCTCCGTCCCTGGATATAACTAATTAACGATGTTGGAGTTTTGTTCCTTGGATAGGAAAAAAATTTATAAAAATATGTCGTCTGTTTTAAGCAGAAGACAACAAAGTGCATATTTCTTTGGATAGGAAAGAAATCCATAATCTTTCTTTTATTTCTATCACCGTTATTTAATGCATTTTTGGGTACAAATTATTTTCAAATAATAATAGTATTTAAAAAAAAACTTTAGAAAAACTCAATGAACTAAAGAATTATTTTCTTATAAAATAAGTTAGATCAATCCTATTTATCATTTGATCTGGAATTGTTAATTAAAAATTATTGATTTTTTAATGATTATTTTAAAATTTGCACCTAAAGTAATGTATAATTAATTAACAATGTAATTTTTTTTTACACTTTTAGCGAATAGCATTAAACTAAAATTTTAACATTACAACTTACATGACATTTTTGTAAATTTCATATTTTTCCCATTTCAAAAAAATGCTAGTATTTCTTGTCTTCTAAATTGTCCATAATGTCATGAATCACACTTTCTATGATACTTCATTCTTTGAGTTCTTTTTCCCAGCGCTGAGTAAATTACATTAAAGAGTTTTTTTTTTTTTTTACATGCATGTTTTTCCGTACGTTCATCATAATTTTAAACTATTATTGAAATATAAACTAAATAATTCATCAACACCTCATTATGGAACTGTATTATTCATCCTCCTCCAACGACAACATTCATTCCACACCATCACCAACTTTTTACATTCAAAGAACAAATGTGAAGCATTCTCAACTACCACATTGCATTCATCAAATATCTCCCAAGTCCTGACCATATTCAATAACATTTCGTTTCAACAAATTGTTCAAGTTTGGTAGTCTATTTAACCCGCTTCCCATGCCAGCATTTGCACTTTTGGTGGTATCCTTTAACCCATATCTTTCTATAAAAAATCATCCTCTGGTTCCATGTGAGCATGCCTTATTATTATCTCATATATGCAGTTTTTACTGTGTAGTTTCCTTATTATTATCTACTTCTGTTTCTTTCAGAGCAACACCTCCCAAAAGCTCTTTCAACTCCCCCAAATTGTAATCTCCCATTGAAATAACTCCCTATGCCACCTCCATTCCTATTCCCATTGCTGAACAGCTAAGTCTCCCAACACCATGCACCCTTTTGTTTTGAGATACAATCTATGTATTGTATCTCAAACAATACAATCTATGTATTGTTTTGAGATACAATCTAAGTCTCCTTGCTGAACAGCTAAGTCTCCCACCTCCATTACTTTAGTGCTCGAACAATAATGTACCATTTGCAAACTGCTAGGCTTAATCTTTGTCTTCCCACTGAAAACCCCTTCAAAGAGCCACTTTTTCTCCCCTCACAAACCATTTAAACTTGAAACAATATAAAACTAATAATTAAAAAAAAAAAAGAAAAAAAAAGACAACGGATCTCTTTATCTAAGCCAACTTCTCATATGAATTGAATGGTTCTATCACCATTAGATAATAGAAGACACATGCAAAGGTTGAAATCATAAAATAAAATAATATGAAAACACCAATAGAGTGCGAGTTGTCATCAAAATTTATGTTTTTAAGATCCCTGGCCACCTTGCATCCAACAATACATCAGGACAAATACATGCATTCTAGATTATTATTGTTTAATGAAGGATTTTTTGGTTGTGTCGTGGATTCATTACTAACATATCACCTGCTGCACCTTCTACAAAATAAGTTGGAATCAAAATGCATACTTTCAATTTTTTTTTTCTCTTAATTTACCTTCCTAGGTGTTATTATCAATGAATAATTTAATCAGAAATGCTAAGAGCTATTCAATTATAATATTTGCTCTTTAATCAAGATTGTCTGTATCACTGTTTGAAGAATTTGATGACGATGAGAATAGAAAATAAAATAGCAGTTAGTTTTCTGTGTAGATTATAAGAAAAATGGAATAACTATGTAAGAATAATTGACTAAATTTTGTGTGGTTCATGTTAAAATCGGCCAAAAAAATGGTTTATAAAAATAAAAACTAATAAGTGAGTGAGACTGAAAATAAATAAATAGTTAATATTTAGTATTTAGTAGTTGTTCAACCCCAATTTCATGATATTGTTTACAAAAGTGATAAATTTTAATTAATTGAGTTAAAATTAATTTTTTTTATTTATATGAAAAAGACATAAAATTTATGGATCATTAGAAACATAGTTAAAGTTGAAGTTTTTTTACAAAGGGATAAAATTTAACTTCAATTAGACCCAGGAATGTCAAAAAAAAAAAATTTGTGTCAATGAATATTTTCTGTTAAAATATTCTATGAATAAAAAATAGATATAATAAATGAATATCTACGAGTAACTAGTATCATAATATTTATATTTATGTTGCTAATATTCAATTACATAATTACATATCAAATTTGTTTAAATTTGAGAGGAAAGTATTTTAATAATTTAATTAAAATTTTAAATTAAAGAATCTTAATTAATATAAGATTATGTAAAATATTTGAATAATTTAAGTTTTAACTTTAAATTATTATTTTTTTTATAAAAAATTAATAGAATAAATAAAAGTTATTATTGAAAGATTTAAAAAAAAATAATATTCACATATTTTCATGAATATTAAAAAAATACGTAAATATTCACTTAAAAGATACCTGCACAAATATTATGATGAAAATAGATATAGAACCAAACTAAAATTTATTAT